GGAGGTTCCTTATTATAACTTTAGTATGACATATCCTAAAACCCTATACTAATTCTTAAGGCTTCTGCAAGTAGTGCTCTTGTTTACGTAAAGGGTCCTTTAAGGGAGCTCGAGGGCTTGGGATAATATCATACCCCAGCTTGGACACTTCTCAGGGTTTTGCACCGTTATAGCGGCTTAGAAGGGCCCTTTGCATACTGTGAATGATATAAATCCTGCATTACCTTAAAGGCCAGAGTCTAGGGGAATTATGGTATATTCCTAATAGTGGGTAATGCAGGATTTATATCATCAACCGTAGTATGCTACAGGGCTTGGGGGGTTTGGGGTTCGGAGGCTGGACAGCGAGAACGGAAGAAGAACAGTCCTTTTCCTTGACTTCCTGAACCCTGAGCCCAGACCCTAAACCACTAAACCCCTAGACCCGAAGCATCTCCCCGAAAACGGGCTTGCAGTAGCCTCCAGACCCCTAACCCCAAACTCTAAACCCTAAAACCCCTAAACCCTAAACCCTAAAACCCCTAAACCCTTAACCCCAAACCCTAAAACCCCTAAACCCTAAAAACCCTAAAACCCCTAAACCCTAAACCCTAAAACCCCTAAACCCTAGACCCCAACCCCAACGGTGGACTGCAGCGTCGACCCCAGAGCTGGGAGAAGTCCCGACGGCCCTGGGTCTGTGATACTTGGGGCTTACTTGGAGGCCCAGGGGACTTAGTAAGTGGGTTAGGGTTTAGGGTTTAGGGTTATAAGTAGAGTTATATGTAGCCTAAATGGAGTTACCCTAATTATAACCCTACTTCTAACCGACTTACTAAGTCCCCTGGGCCTCCAAGTAAGGGCCTCTTGAAAGGATCTATAGGGGTACTCTTTAAAGGATCTATAGGGGTACTATACGGGCTTAGGGTTCAGGGTTTTTGGAGGGTCGCGGCACTAAGCAAGTGAGGTTAAAAGCACTGAATCGGAGTTAGAGGTAGACATAGCATAATATAACCCTACATGGACCCTTGAACCACTCCACCCGGAAATTTCTCGCCAAACGCCATACCCGGAGCACATTCTCCCCAACACATCCCATTAAGCAGAATCCAGTCGCTGGACGCCATCCAGGCCGATCTGGCCAAATTCTGGAACCTTTCCTGGCCTGCCCCACCCTGCCGAAACCCGAAAAGGAACAGGTGTTGCGTGGTTTGGCCGCCTCGTACGGCGTGGTGTGGGGGAGAAAAAAAAGGAAACTTCTATGGGCTTTCACAGCTCACCGCCATAGTACGATGAGTCTTGTGACATAGAAGAACCCGAAACCCCTGAGAGCCCTACAAACCCGAAAACCCTGAACCCCTAAAATCCTCTAAAAAAACGCCCTGAAAAAACTTTAAAACCCCCTCAAAAACCCCTAGAAAACTTTTAAAACCCCTCAAAAAGCGTTGAGCCGATGCCCCCAAGGCCCAGCTCGACTTGGACCTCCACTCCTCCCAGGACGCCCCACTTGATTAAAGGAAACTACAGGTGGGGGGTTCCAGTGGCTCTAATGACTGGTTTTAGGGTTTAGGGGTTTTAGAGTACCATACTTGAATACTTCTGGGTCCTTGTTGGATACAATTTTAATTTTTGTTCCAATAAAACCCCAATAAAGATTAAAAATGAGCATTTTTAATATAGCCCCAACAGGGAACCAGGCTTGATTAAAGGAAACTACTGGTGAGGAGTTTAGGGGTTTTAGGGCTTAGGGTTTAGGGTTTAGGGGTTTAGGGTTCAAGGGTTTAGGGGTTTAGGGTTTAGGGGTTTAGGGGCTACAGGTGGGGAGTTAAGGGATATATGGCTTCTATAAGGTGTTTAAGAAGGCTCCTATCACGGTAACTACCCACCTGAAAATCTTGAACTTAGGGGTGAGGAGTGAGGAGCTTTGGTGTTACTAATATAGTGGCCTTTTAGGGTTTATAGGGTTTAGGGTTTAGGGGTTTAGTAATAGAGTGGCCGTTTAGGGTTTATAGGGTTTATAGGGTTTAGGGGTTTAGGGTTTGAAGCATCGGGGGGTTCTAGGGTTTAGAAAGGTTTAAGAGGTTTAGGGGGTTTAGGATATTCGGGTTTATCGTTTAGGGTTTAGGGTTTAAAAGGGGTTTAGAGTTTAGGGTTTAGGGTTGATGATAGGAATCCTGCATGACCTTAAGGACCCTAAACTGTGGGAATTATGGTCTATTCCTGATTATGGGTAATGCAGGATTTATATCATCAACCGTAAGGGTTTAGGAGGTTTAAGGGTTTAGGGGTGTAGGGGGTTTAGGATTTTTAGGGTTTTCGGTGTTCAAAGGTTTTGGGTAGGGGTTAGGGTTTAGGGGTTTAGGGAACTGGTATGGAGTGTTTTGTAAACGGTTTCCCTTTCAAGGCGTCCTGCGAAGGCCTGTAAGAGGTAGGGGGGACGTGGTAAGATTTTGCCTAGGGCTGTACAGGCTTTTACGTGGCTTGCGAGGTTTAGAACAGGGACACCTTCAAGAATTGAGCTGGTGGATTGTACACCAAGTAAAGAAGTAAAGTAAGAAGTATCCTAAAATGAGGTTACCCGGCTTAGATGCCTAAGTAGAACCCAGTTGTGAATACCGAGTCCTTGATGTTTTTGTTAGGGTTCTCAGAGAGCTCAGCGTCCTGTACTTGAGGAGTAAATCTTATACCATAGTCAGCTGCAAATTACATGTGTCAGGTATATTCCTGATGAAGGATTAGCGGCATTGGGCTTTCAAGTTTGGGTGTTGGATTTTGGGTTTTAGGGTGCAGTGTTTCCCGCGTTTTAAGTCGTCGCCAGAACGCATATGATGAATTACATGTCCCTGGTCAGATCAGGCAAAGCAAGTTCCGGAAGGAAAACACAGGCTCCCTCATTCTTTCTTCTCGATGAGGGGCAGCCCGAAGTGAAGCAGATTCCTGTCTGCAGCCGAAGGTTCGCAGGGTAGAAGGCCGAAAGCAACGCTCTTTTTGCCAGACTTCTCTGCAGCCACGGCGTGTTGCTGGAGCCCCAAGATCGCGGTCGCGGCCGACGAGATCCAAACGAGGTCTGCCGAAGCCGAAGCGATGCAAAAGGTCGCTTTGAAGACAGCACACATGGGTTCTGCCTACGGGTCGCTTTTTGTAAGACTTACTGTGCAAAGCCTGCTATGTGTGTGCATGTGTGTATGTGTGTGTGTATATATATATATATACATAAATGTATACAAATTTTCGCAGAAGCATTAGATATGACAAATACTCTAAGGTCGCTTTGAAGACTGTGGTTTTCATGGGCTCCGCGCGCAACGTGGTTCCTCCCTGGGGTGGCGAGGCGCGCTTGGGCGACCGCGTTTTGAAGCATGTGCTCAGCGTTCTGAAAGCCAGGGACGAGGCCTATGGACAGGACCGCTTTTCTTACCAGTGTCGCCATAATTTCCATGATACAGTACCATGACTAGCCTGACTTTTTATGATTACTATGATCGGTACTATCAAGATTATTATTGTTGTTATGATTATTACTACTACCTCCTGCTGCTACTCTTTCTCCTTCCTCTTCTCCTACTCCTACTCCTACTTCTACTCCTCCTCCTCCTCTTGCTGCTGCAACTACTGCTGCTACTACTACTACTACTACTACGACGACGACGACGACGACTACTACTACTACTGCTACTACTACTACTACTACTACTAGTAGCAGTACTACGATGATTACCCTTTTGACTGCGGACAGGACCAAGTCAGCCATGAGGTTTCCGTTTTCGACCCCGTCGAGGTGTTCGGCCCGGGTGGGGCGTGTGAAGGTGATGGCCACCTCACTACGCCACACTTCTTCCTCAAGGCCAGCACGTAATATAAGGGCCTTAATAGTTAGACTGGGGTTCCTTTAAGAGGCTCCTACGGGGTTCTATAAGGGAACTAGAATGGGACTCTATGGTATAGGGGCCTTAAAAATTAGAATAGGGTTTTGGGGTTGATTATACTATTATAGTTATAACAAGGAACCCTCAAAATAGTATAGGTTATTATTCAGGCCCCTATATTACTGGGGTTAGCGTGTAGGGTTTGGAGCGTTTCGGACTTAGGTCTTAGGGCTTGGAGGGATTTGGCTTTAGGGTTTAGACACTTCTTCTGTAAGGCTGGCACAAACCCCAAGATGGATGAGATGCAACTCGGCGCCGAGGAGGGCCTGAGTTGGAAAGGTACCAACCCTTGTTCCCATTTTTTTGAGGTGTAAGAACTAACGAAACCCTAGACTGTAAGGCTACAGTGGGTAGAGGAGAGCTACTGGGAAGCCTAGGCGAGACACCATCAAGGCGGCCGATGGTTACGTGGTGGTCACAGCAGAGTATAACCACTCTTTGCCGCCTGCGCTGACCAGCTTGATGGGACATTTCGGTGGATCGAACTACAAGTGCAACTAGGCCGCTCTTGAGAATCACGTTTAGCATGATATAGTAGAGTAGAATCAGCAGAACACTGTACTGCACTGTCTTATTGTGTATTGCATTGTCTTTGGAAGGAACAAACACTTGGAAATGTTGGCCTGCCAGAGCAGCCCAGGCAAGCCTTCCTGCATTGTCACCTACAGCCCCGGTCCCTGGGCAGGCATGCGCGCAGCCATGGCGGCACGCCCTTTCCTTTCCGAGCTCGGCTGCATCCCCGTGAGCAAGCTGGCGGCCTTCCCTGCGCCGAATGAGCTCTTCGATGAGGAGGGTGCGCCCAAAGATCCCGAGGCGCGCATGCTCAAACAGTTACCGGCCATGGTGGGCGAGTTGGAGTGGATGGCGCTCGCCATGAAGAAGATGCGGGACTCCGCCGGGCTGCCCAAGTGAGAGCAGCCGTCGTGCCACCTCTTCCCAGGGAAAAATCGTGTCGGTGGAAAATCAGGAGTCAGAAAATGAGTAGGAGAGACGTGGTTTCAGGCCAAACCGCCTCTTTGGCGTCTATCTATGCTATGCGTGGACCTTGGGGTCATGCGAGGAGTTTGGGAGTTTTGAGGCTTTCGGGGCCTAGAGCCCTCAAGCCTCAAACTTCGATCCCCTCCGACAGGCTCTATGGGAGTGTCAGAAACCCTAAACCCTCACATCCTCAGCCGCTTGTCAGACAGGACCCGTCTCCAGATTCCATCGTGGACCTCGCGCGACGTCGTCTCACAAGCCAGGCGGGCGCCTCCCAGGGAGGTTTGGGCTGCTAGAGAGGTCCGGTTTTTGTTGGTTTGGGGGTTACTGTTGGAAGATATAAATCCTTAGCATGACCTTAAGGCTCCTAAACTATGGGAATTATGGTATCTTCTCCGTGTTATGGGTAATGCTAAGGATTTATATCATCAACCGTAGGGCTCGGGGTTTTGACGCTGTTGTTGCAATCTTTAAGCTGACAGTGATTTACGGGAACCAGAGTTCTAGGGGCCCGAAGAGTTATCAGCACCATTCCTTGGGTCTGTGGCCAGAGACGGTAAGGTGAAAATGAATTCCTTAGGGCTCTTTACATGAATATTACCAAAACTATAACATAACCTGCAAGGCCGTTTCGAATTGTTAAGTCCCGTCATTATTAAGTCCCGTCTGTACCCTGAACCTCTATAGAACTCTTATACTCGGCTCTTGTTCGCGATTTTATTTAAGTTACCATAAGAGGGATCTATAGTAAATAACAGGGTTTCCTTATTATGGTAACTTAAATAAGATCCCCCCCCAGTTTAGGAGCCGTTAAAGGGGACCCGACTCTAGAACCCTAATAGCCTTTCGAGCAGGGGACCTTCTTACACAAACCCTGTTTGCCGCTAAAGGGGACTGTAGCCCCTTGAAGGAGAAACCTACATTCCCAGAGACTCCAAACCCTGAATTAAGGAATATACCTTAAGTTATGATAGGAACCCTAATAAGATCTAAGGTATATTCCTTAATTAAGGGGTTTTGGAGTCTCTGGGTTCCTAAACCCCAAACCCTCAACCCTAACCACATCCAAAGATCTCGAGGATCTCGGCCATGAGGTCCCAGACAACGGCCCAGAGCCCGGAGAATGGAGCGGCCGTCTTGTGGTCTACTACAAGAACAGAATAAGCTTTTCTTTTTTGGGGGGGTGTAGATTATAGTAGCCTATATATGTATATACATATGTAACCATAGAATACATATACACACACACACACACACCTGTAGTTCTAGTGTAGGTAGAATGGGGGTTTTGGGATAGATCATAGCTGTCTGAATAGATATAGTGAATTTACTAGGGTTTTGGGATTAGATTACCGCGTGAGTATAATCGGGAACCCTGAGCAAGAATGTGGCCTCAAAAGGTGGGGATGGAGGCAGGTAAGATGAGGAATCCCTGTTGCATGGGTGTACCTGGGATCACCCTATACCCTGAACCCTATAAACCCTCTACCCTAAACCCTGTAAACCCTTTAACTTTACCCTAAACCCTGTAAACCCTAGACCCTTGACCCCTAAACCCTATACCCTAGACCCTTGACCCTGTAATCCCTAGACCCTGGACCCCTAAACCCTATACCCTAGACCCTAAACCCTAGAATCTCATTGGGATGACCCCACCGACCTTCAACCCGGCTTTAGGGTCTAGGGCTCAGGGCTGTTAGGGTTTGTGGTCTTTAGGGCCCTTGGGGTTTAGGTTTGGTGTTTAGGGTTTAGGGCTTTGGGCGCTTTGAGTTGTTCAGAGGCGGGGTTTGGGGCTTGATTCGGGATTGGAGCAGTCCGGGGCGACTCAGAAACGAACAGTTTCAGCCAGAAGGCTTTAGTCTAGATGCCTTGATGGTTATATTGTCATATACCCCGCAACACCCCTTACTAGTTATAGTATAAAAAATCCCAAAGCCCTATTCTGATGGTATGAAGGCCGCCCTACATTAGTGGGTTTCAAGATTAATTTGGGCAGACTTGGGAGTTTGATGCTGCGCCCGGTTGGACATTGTAAAGCCAGAGACTCCAAAACCCCTTAATTAAGGAATATGCCTTAAATCCTATTAGGGTTCGTATTGTAATTTAAGGCCTATTCCTTGACTAAGGGGTTTTGGAGTTTCTGGGCAGTCTGCAAAACATGTCTGTAAAGACGCCCCGGAGCTGGTGTACTTGGCGCTTAGGGTTTTAGGCTTTAGGGGTGTAGGGGTTTAGGGTTTAGGGGCTTAAGGGTTTAGGTTTTAGGGTTTAGGGTTTATCGTAGCTAAAGCCTCAAGGCCTAAGCCGGCTTCTCTTCCTTGCTGAGGCCTCGCTTCCTTCGCTGGGCCTTTCTGCACCGGCTTCGGCGCAGGCCTTCGCAGTAGGGGCTGAAGGGTTTCGGAATTTTCAGACGTGGGAATGAGGACAAAGAGATCTTGCACATGTATACATGGCCGGGTGGATGCGAAGAAGCTGTGAAGTGCGCAAGACCTGGCAAACGGTCTCACCTTACCCTGCTTGATGTGCGACTAAGCAAGTGCGATAACTGATTCCATTTTCAGGTGGGTTATAGGAGCCTTATAGAAGCTCTATATACCTTATAGAAGCATTATAAAAACCCTATATACCCTAAACTCCCCACCTGTAGTTTCCTTTAGCTGATGGATAGTATGGGAGAGACATGAGCTCCGAAGGACCTGCAGCAAGCCCATCATTACCAGAGACTCCGAAACCCCTTAATTAAGGCATATACCTTTTATTATGGTAGGAACCCGAATAAGATTTAAGGAATATTCCTCTAATTAAGGGGTGTGGAGTCTCTGGGAAAGACAAGGCGCCATGTGAGACAGGGCCCCGGAGTCCTCCGGAGGTCTGGTTTTGGGCGTTAGCCTTGGGAACACCACAGCTTCATGTAGGAACCTGGTGCAGAAACCCTGGGTCTTTATTAGGGGTCTATCTATCTCTATCTCTATATATATATATATATATATACGAGAATCCTAATCTAATTGGGGCTGTAGGGCCATGATTCCTCAATCAGGTTTATGCATTAGGTATCGCTTCACCATCCGTTGGAAAGTTTTCGTTCTTTCTGTTGCCACTCGCAGCCCTAACAAGCCAGTAGAAATCGTAAATAAAACCACTATACAACCTGATGGCCCGAAGATGGATTGGGTTCTCTGGGAAAGTGTGTACATAAGGCTCCGTATGACACTTGGGGCCTCATGGGCGTCGTCCTGCTACATCATTAAAGGAAGCTACAGGTGGGGAGTTTAGGGTATATAGGGCTGCGGCTTCTATAAGGCTTCTATAAGGTATATAAACCTTCTATAAGCCTCCTATCATGGTAACTACCACTTCATATACATCCTTTGCAAGGAGCCTGGGGTTTGCCCAGGATGAATCGACTAGGCCCTTCTGTCTACCCTGTGCTACCCGCAACTACTGCTGTGATATAAATCCTTAGCATGACCTTAAGGATCCTAAATTATGGTATATACCTTTTTATGGGTAATGCAGATGCAGATTTATAACATCAACCGTATGAGTCGGGACATGCTTGAAGCCGGTGTACGGGCAGCTGGTGGGTCTGGGCCCCTCTGCGTCTCTGCATCCATCCCCAAGCCCCAAACCGCCTGCTGCAGGCGCGTATGCTGCTCTCTGGTCAGAGGCCACTCGACTTCGCGTGAACTCGTGTGGACAGTTTGAGATCCTGAAGATGCCGTGGACCCCGCCCCACTGCTTGAGAACCCTGGTAGGCAGGCACCCTCAGCTGCAGCTGGTGAATTGGTATCTGCATATGAAGAGATACTTCGCAGGTCCTGGCTGCGGACGTCTTTGAGACGTTCAGCAAGGCGCCCTCTCTCAGTGAGGATTCTGCAAGGTAGAAACAATGTTCTGAATTGCCGAAAGGGTTCGTCAAGGAGGGTTAGCCCAGTTGGGGGCATGTATGACCCCGCTTCTTTTTGTGTATATCACAATCAATCACAAGCACTGTTTTCTTATGGACCTGGCCCATGAACCCCTCATATTTTCCCTGCTGAAACGGGATCCTTGTGATCAAGCCTCCTCGAGACATCTTCGCAATCTGCGAGCCCTCCACATCAAGGATCAAAAGGTAGGCCTCATATCTAGGTCCCCAGCAGTGCACGTTTGCCCTTTCTGTTTCGGGGCCTCCTTAAGCAAAACGATAACAGGAAAACCGTCACCCATTCTATTGCGGGGATACTGGCGAACTTGGCCTCAAGTTTCCACGTTAAGCCTTGATCCCATGTCCCTTGACCCTTGTACCCGAAAGGCTACATGAGGATTTCTCAGATGCTTGGTTCGTTTGGGGGCCTCCCAAGAAGCACCTAGTCTAGTAACACCACCCATGTTAGGGTTCTTTCTTAGAAGACATAAAGCCCCATCAACCTCATGACATCCTTATACGACACGGACAGACTCTCCTATGAAACCTTATCGAGCCCTACTAGTGAGGCCCGCTGATCTCTTCATGTAGTATGGGACCCTGACTAGTCAACAAGACTGTCCCTTGGGTTTCCTTACAAGTAGAGCTTCGAACAACGCCCCGAAGGCCCCAGTCAAAACGTTCAGGCTGCTACGGTGGGTAGTAGGGGTTTTAGATGCCAAACACTAGACTTTGTGAATGGCCTCCGGAACAAAACGCTAAAAACCCAAAAATCCGTGGATTTGGACAGTGCATCCTTTAGGGGAATTCCCTTTCAGGGTTCCTTAAAAGGGTTCCTTTAAAGGGCTCCTTTAAACGGCTCCTTTACAGGGATCCCCTGGGGAGCTGAGCGCAGGCCGGGCCTCAGGAGCTGCCGGAGCTGGGGCGGCGCTTCCGCGTGGCATGTCCGAATTCTCACTCCCGGGCTTTGGAAAGGGGTAGTTCTCTAAACGAGGGTCCCTGTTGGGATTCTTTTTTTTATAAGGGT